TTCTCTTCCTGTTATGTGTCCTCTCGTCACCTTTGACTCATGGTGACCCTGTGTACAGCAGCTCTGAACCCTGCCCTATCTTGAGCCAGTCTCACAGACTCTGACACACCTAATCCCATTGCCCCAGCTCCTGTGTCCATCCATCTCATCGGGGTCTTCCTCTCCTGCGCTGTCCCTCCACCCTTCCAGACGTGATCAGTGGGCAGGGGTTGGGAAGACCATTTTGAAAAAATTCCCGGAAGTTACAGTTTCTCTTTCACTCAGGGAAAAAAGTGTCACTCACCTCCAGCCCTTAGAAAGTATTTTACCAGAGTCTAAGCAAACAAGAAAAAGAAAAAGCTGTCCAATGGATTTGGACTCCCAGTGGAACAGACCAGAACTGCTCCATAAAGAAGAGCAACTAGGCAGTTTGAGCCTCCTCCAGCTTTCTCAAATAAGGGGAGAAAAAGTAAAGCTAAATATAATTTATTTAAAGACTCAAGCTCACAAAAAAAAAATCTGATTTAATATTAATAGAGTACTTCATCATAATTCCTCTTAAATACTTGTGTGTGGGAGGGGGTCCTAAGGGATTTCCTTTGAGTCAGTCTAACCTTAATACACTTCAGCCAATCTTATATTAAATTCTGTTCATATGTGAGGAAGGGGCTCTGGTGCACTTTAACTAAAAGGCTGTGTATCTCCTGTAGTTTGAACCCTCCATCACCTTCATGGGAGAAAGATGGCAGTCTTCTATTATAAGAATTAAAACTCTTTGCCATCAAACTGAAAACAGCTCATAGTTGACCCTTCAGCTGATTTTCAGGGGATGTAAATCACACAGAAGATTGCTCATCTGTGTCCCATGGGGCAACTTGCAGATTTGAACTACATGCCTTTGGGTCAGCAACAGAACTCCTTACCCACTAGGCCACCAGAGCTCCCAGATTATAAGAATGACAGCCCCCGAAATCAATGGAGGATCACTGTGAACCGGAACAGACTCAGAGGCACTGATTTGTGTTTGGTTTTAGTCATACATACAGGAGCTGGCGGCAGAGTGGATTACAGGTTGGACTGCTAACAGGAAGGTTGACAGTTCAAACCCACCTGCTTCAACTTTTTGAGAAAATGTCATACTACCTTCCATAGTGGTTGCACCATTTTATACTCCCACCAACAGTGAATAAGGGCGTTTTGTTTTTTAAAAATGCGATCAGGGGCTCCAGTTTGAGATGCACTATTTGAAATATATCCTAGAAGACTATATAATATCTTGAGTAATTTTGGGGTTATTATTGCCATTTGTACTAGTGGATATATTTATTGTACAATAAAAACTCATAACTAGACCTACAGCCATCAGGTTGATTTCAAGGCACATTAGAAGTGCCCCACGGGCTTCTCAAGGCTGTAAATCTAGTGGGTTCAAACTGCTGACATTATGGTGCCCAACCCTGTACTTTAACCACTACTCCACTAGGGCTCCGTTATGAGACCATAGTTATGATTTTCAGTAAGAGATGGTATGTCTCATAAGAGAAATAATTTATTATGAAATAAAATTATATACTCTAAGAGTTCAGATTCAAAGAAATACAGTCATTTTCATTTGTAACTTGTTGTTGTTGTGTGCCATCAAGTCAGAACCAACCCATAGCTGACACTCTAGTGGGTTTTCAGAGACAGTAATTGCACAGAAAGAAATTGCCCATCCGCCTCCCACTAAGCTGCTGGTGGATTAGAACCACATGTCCTTGAGACTGCAGTGCAGATTCTTACCACTAGGCCACAAGAGCTCCCTTCATTTATGATTACTGTTGTTGTGTACTGTGGAGTAGAAACCAACCCATTTCAGAGGACTGCCTGTCCTTTTCCAGCGGAGCAACTGGTCGATTCGAACTGTGTGCCTTCAGGATTGCAGTGCAGCTTCTTGCCCCTAAGCTACCAGAGCGTCCTTCATTTATGATTTGGGGTAACTTATTTCTAAATCTTTCAACCACATCTAACAAGCAAAATAAATCCGAAAACTAAAGTCAGTGACTGAAAAGGAAATTTTTTACAAAGGTCTTTAGTTAATGAAAGCTTTCTTTTATAAACTTAACTAGTATCTTGGAATTTCAGTATTTTTTTGAAGCTTAATATTTCACAAATTTCTTAAGGATGAAATATTCATGTGATTATCAGACTATTTTTAGTGATCTAGAATATCCTTTAAATTCAACATGAATACACTTCCTAGAAACTATTAGGACAAAATTGTAGGGTACTAAAACTAGAAGATCCTAAATCAATTTACCTTTATCTCAATATTTTCAAGAAGAAACTGAGGCATGAAAAGGTGACGTCTTACCCAAGCACACAAACTATTTCTGTTAATGTTTACTTAGCGCCCTCTACTGTAGAGAGCTGGTAGAACTACTGGGGACAGAGTGAAAATAAAAACTAGTGTCTTGTGTAGTTGAAGGAGCTCTGAGGGGGTTCTGTGGTGTGTTTATGTGCTGCACTGCTAACCAAAAGGTCAGCAGTACAAATCCACCAGTTGCTGTAGGAGAGAAAAGGTGTGATCCCCTCCCTTAAATATTTATGGGGTCTGTACAAATCTACAGCAGTGGGCTATGTTTAATTTATTTTCTAGTGGGGAGGCCACGTGCCCAAAGTATGTAAGATGGAGCTTCAAAATCCTTGCCTCCAAGGAGAAACTTGGTTTCACCCTCTCCAAGACAGACCTATTTGTTTTCTTGGTGGTCCATGGTCTGTGCAAGACTTCTCCAGCACCACAGTAGGGACAGGTCCTTGGGAGAAAGATAACATGCTTGGAAGGGTAGAGGGATAGCGCAAGAGAGGAAGACCCCAGATGAGATGAACTGATACAATGATGGGGTAATGGGATAGGAGTGTCAGTCAGTGAGACTGGCTCAGGACAGGGCAGGCTTCGGAGCTGTTGCACATAGGGTCATTATGAGTCACAGACAACTCAATGACACATACAAAACAGTGGGGAGAAAACAAACAAGTAGTAAAATAATCAGACAGTTGTGCCATGAGTAAAGGTGATAAAGGAAAAGGGAGTGCTGTGGAAGGGAGTCACAATTTTAAATGTAAGGAGGCCTGAGAAGATCTAAGTATCAAAATGACAGTCAAAATGATCCAAAGGAGGTCATGAACAGGGTCAAATGGATGAAGAGTATGATGTGTTTTGTGGCAGAGACCACGGTAAGTGCAAAGGTCTGAGGGAGAAGCTGACTTGGCCTGTTCCTGAAACAGCCTGCAGGCCAGCGTGGGCAGAGCAAGCAGCAGGAGATAACACAAGTTATGGAGCAACCCAGGGAGATGACATTTTAAGGGAAATGACATTTTAAGTTAATGGAAAACAGAGATAATCATCTTAGCTTAACCAGCTTTAACTTAGCTTGTCCTAGGACTAGCCATTGTGAGGGTGCTTGCAATCCTCCATTTATCTGCAAACAAAGAGAGTTATCCTTTCTTCCTTCCCAATCTGTGTACCTCCTGTTTCTTTTTCTTATCTTACAGCACCAGCAAGTACTTCTAACATGACATGGAACAAGAGTGGTGAAAGAGGGCATCTTGCTTTGCTGCTGGTGTTAGCATCTAGTTTCTCACGGTAAAGTACAATGCTAGATAAGGCTTTGGGAAAAAAATTAAAAAGTTGAGGTAATTCTCCTAAATAAGAGTCTAAGACATTTTCTTTTCAACAGAAATAGAGTAGAACAAGTCTTGTCATTTTGCTTTAAAATAATGGTCGAGGGGTGGGTAGGGAGAAAAATGTGTAACAATGAATGAATGAAAAATCCAACTTTTCTGTAAACTTTCATTAAAATAACAATTTTAAAAAACTTTAAAAAAGAAAATAATGATCAAGTATCAGATTAATTCTTCTCTGAAAGTTGATGAGTCTTCATTTTTCCTTGAGAAAAAAAATTTTCCCCAAATAAACTGTTAGGAGCTAATGATTAAGAGACTAAGTATAGAAATTAATACATACTTTGGTATATCTTCTACACAAACAACACAATTGTGCAATGAGTTTCAAGAAGGAAGACTTCAAAGAACTTTTTTCATAGAGCAAAATGAGGTAATAGTTTAAATAAAGTATAATGTCATTTTATTGAAAATAAAACATGAAATATTAAACATACCTGCATTTAAATTAAAGAAAAAGAAAAGCTTATGATATATATATGTGACACTCGTAATGTGCCCTGGGGTCATCATAGGGATGGCGTTAACCAGCCCACAGGGCCTGGCGAGACATTTCTATTCACCGTTCCAGGGATATAACTGCCAAACAGATGGCACAGACATAAGACAGACCAGACAATCTCCACAGGAGCCGAAGAGAAGCGTTACTTCCTACAATCCAATTACTCACTGTCCATGACCATGACCACCACCCTGATTCACATGCTGTTGTATCACCTTTTCCATTGCAACATACTTTCACTGAAATTTCCAAACAGTTTGAAGTTTACAGATTTATACCAAATGCAGTTCACATTAGTTGCTTTCTAATGATACAGGGGGGAAGAAGAATTGTCCCATGTCTGATCTGCCTCTAAGTGCAACTCATAGCAAGTTTTCCTGTAGATGGAAATTTCAATGGTGAAATTGAGACACAAATGACCTTTAATTCTAAGAAAGATGGGGATCCTTGACCTTATCTTTGTGGCCTTTTTCTTCCACAATTTCATCTATATCCCTCTTACTGAGATTACTGTCCACTAAACATAAACTAGGCATGAACATTTTCAGTTCCAGTAAGTGTACTGCACAGACATTTATATTAAAGGAATTTAAGTATGTGTTGGAAGGAGGTACATTTTTAAAAAGCCCTATGCTTTATCAAAATAAAAGCTTCAAAAAAAAACAAACAAAACAACAAAATAAAAGCTTCATTTTTACAAGAAACAAGAAAACGAAAAGCTAATAAAATGATATATAAAGGAATTATAGGGATAACCTTTAGTCTACTGCTGGTTGGTTCACAAGCTCATGGAGGCTCAGGTTATAACGTAACGGGTAATTCTTCCCCCTCGGACCTCTGACAGCCTCTTACAGTGTCGCAAAATATTCAGGATCACGTGAAACCTCTTGTCAACTTTCAGAGCCGTGAACTCCTTTATGTCTGCTTCCACTATGAAATAGTGACCTGAAAAATAAAGGTATCAGTGCTAATTACCATAAGGCCAACTTTCTAGATAAGCCTTTAATGCATTATATTGCGAATATCAAAGGTATTAATCATTTTCACTATCAGTATCAAAATTGAGAACTGGTGTCCTTGTGAAAATAATAATTACTCTATCAAGTGATGTTCGATAACATTTGCTGTAGCATTTCAGGAATACAGTCATGCTTGTTACATCACCAGATGCTACTGATTCATCTTGAAGAACACACTTTCCAAGTGAGAGAGATAGTGTCATACTTAAGAACATGAAACCCAGAGTAGCTACACCATTCAACTTTGACAAGTTACTGAAGCTCTCATGTGCTGTCAAACCAAATGTACATGGTTTGGATGCACCAACTAACTGACTGCTCTATGGGAAAAAGATGGGCAATCTCTTCTCATGCAATTTCTAACTTCTGAAAACCTGCTGGTGGGTCAGCTCCGAGTAACTTCCCATTTGAAAAGGCTCACAACAACAATTAAAACTGGCACACCTCATCTTACTGGGCTTCAGAGCTGTTGTAATTTTTACAGTTTGAAGGTTTGTGACAACCCTGCGTCAAATGAGTTTAGTGATGTAATTTTCCAATAACATGTGATTATGTCATGTCTTTGTGTCCTCTTTTGGCAATTCTCACAATACTTGTCCATAATGCTACTCCTCCCGTGAGATTAACTGCCTCTGAAAACCCACTGAGGGTCAGCTGTAGGTCGCTTCCGACTCATGGGTACACGATAATATTATATACTCTAACAGACTACAGTACAGAGTAAACATAACCTTTAAATGCACTGGGAAACCAAACAAATTATGTGGCTCAATTTATCAGAGTATTCAAGTACTCAAGGTTGGCTCAGGATAGGGCAAGGTTCACAGCCTTTGTTCACTGGGTCGCTCTGGGTCATAGTCGACTCAACGGCACATAACGATACTTTATTTGGGTGTTCTAGAACCAAAACCATCATTTCTCTTCCAAAGCATGTCTGTCTTCAGGACTAATGTCCTTAGTACACTAAGCACATCCTGAGTGCTGTAAGTGTGACCAAGTATCATCTCTACGGTTCTAACTCATAGACTAGCGGGTGCCGTTCTACAACAGAATCTCAGAGCAGTGTTTCTCAGTCACAGCACTACTGACACTTTGAGGCTGGTAGTTCCTTTTTGGTGAGGCTGTCTTGTGTGTTGTGGAATATTCTAGAATGTGTCAGCAGCCTTCTCTGAGCCTAGCAGTGGTTCTGACATGAGTATAAAATATCACTGTTGTTGTTGTGTACGGTAGGGTCAGAACCAACCCATAGCTGAGCCTCCAGTGCATTTTCAGAGGCAGTTAATCGCACAGGAGGAGACTGGCCATCTGCAGAGCAGCTGGTGGATTCGAACTGAGTGCCTTCGGAATTGCAGCACAGCTTCTTTCCACTAGGCCACCAAATGTCCCCTGCTAGGAAAAGCTGCTTTAAGTTGAGAACTCGCTAGATTAGAACTTTCCAGGATCAGTTTTCTCTTTCCTTATTTAGTTATATGCCAAACAGTTGACAGGTACACATAAATACATTATCCATTTACCTTTGGTATCCTTTATTTCTTCTTCCATAAATCTGTGATAAAGGTTTCTGGCCACAGAACTCAGAGACTTTTTCGGTTGATGCAAGATCTTATATTTACAGGCCACTGCCTTGTTAATTTCTTTAATAACATCATTAATCTGACAATAGGTTAAGCGTGATTTCATGTAGCTATTTAAAAAAGAAAAGCATATGGTTAGTTTTTCCTTTTTAAAGACTCACCAAACAAAATTATTTTTTAGGAAAAAGCATAATGATTTTGTACAGCATTGAAGCTTTATAACGGCAATTTCACATCAACTTCCAAATCAACTTGAGACATCTCAACAGCTGGAAGATGAACTAGAGATGGCAACACATCTGTGCGTTATCAGGCCTAAAGGGGTCTGTGTTAATTAGAGGTGAGTTCAATTTTATACCCAGAGAAAACAAATATTAGAAATGAAAAGAAAATCACAAATTCTGATTCAAATAGGCTGATTAGCCTCAATATAAAAAACTGAATTTAAACTTTAGAAAATATTGTTTTGAACAAGGAAGAGAGAAATCGAAACATTTTCGGTAAAAACGTATCTGCTCAGAAGAGGAAGATATGGAAAAAGAAGGGAGAAACAGGGCTATGAGGACACCATGAAGAGGACAAGGAGGACGAAGAAGAGATCACTTCTGGATTTAAACAGCAGAGGCAGCGAAGAATCCAAAACCAGCCTTGCTTCTTCTCAGTCCCCAGCTCCCTGAGAGCATTGTCTCTTCACTCTAAATTCCACGCTTTAATCTGGCCTATTCTTCCACTCACCACAGAATCTTAGAGCATGAAGACCAAAGATTTTCAATTTTGAGTGGTCTGTCATTGATAGAAAGGAAGCTCTGGTGATACAGTCTGTAGCCAGGGGCAGTGCTAACCAGCTCCTTGCTGGTTCAAATCCACCAACTGCTCTGATGAGAAAGAGGGGTCATCTCCTCCTGTCCAATTTACAGTCTGCAAAAACCCGCTGGAGGGTCAGCTGTCAGTCAGTTCTGACTCGACTGCGATAACTGAGTGAGTTGTTAGGTGTAGAGTCAATGCCAACTTGTAACAACCCTATGTACAACCTCGCCTGATCCCTTCAAGTCATACTAAACTGTTGTTCCTAAAGAGAATCACAGCTCACTGGGGTCAGAAGCCCCTGGACCCAGGAATTGGTAGATAGGTGACAAATTCCTAGACACTCAGTGTGGACTCACTTCAGAATTTCAACTTCTGGAGACCTAGTTTTGCTTGTTTAACTGGAGAAAGAGCAAGAGAGAGAGAGAGAGAGAACAAACTTTCCTGAGTTTTCCTTCTAAGATCATCCCAGAGTTTCTTGGAAATTATCAGAGAAAAATTCCCAGAGGAAAAGTAGACATTAAAACATATACCCAGAACCGAGGCATTCTGATCTCCGTAACAAAGACAGGCTCTCTTGCAAGAGAAACCTTCAATTGCACTCATTGCCTTGAGTTGGAATCCACTCACAGCCAACACTCCAGGGAGTGTTTCTAGGTTATAAACTGCACACGAAAGGATCTCTGGTGGTTTAGTAGTTAAGGAGTTGCCCTGACAATCTAAAGACAGATGGTTCTAATCCACAGCTGTTCCATAGGAGAAAGATCACAAACTCCTCCTGTGCAATTTACAGCCTCTGAAAACCCCTGGGAGGGCAAGTCAGCTCTGAGTCAGTTCCAGATTGACTGCACACAACAATGACAACAATAACAAACCACACAGGAGATTGTTAATAAATTTGCCAATATAAACATGGTAGATACTAAACCAACTCTGGGAATAATTACTTTAAATGTGAATAGTCTACTATGCCAAATGAATACGAGTGCATAATAATAATGTTGTCTTCAAATAAGCCATTTAAAATAGAGACTATGATACATGAAGAAAGATGTACTATGCTAACATCAAAAGAAAGAAAGAGTTATTCACCATTGCAAGAACATGGAAACAGCCCAAATGTTCAACCACAATCAAATGGATTGAGAAATTATGGTACATTCACACGATGGAATACCACGCGGCACACGGAACAATGATTTTGTAAATTACTACCTAACTTGGGTGGCACTGGAGAGCATTATGCTGAGTGAAGTAACTCAGTCCCATAAGGACAAATACTGTATAAGAGCATTATTGTAGAACATGAATGAGGATCCAAGTGTGTGTGGGGGGAAGGGCAGAGGGGAAAAGATGGGTAGGGGAGAGGGGTTAACCCTAGGGTCGCACAACTTGATGGGTGAAGGGAAGGGTGTGTAAAGGAAGGGTAAAGATCTGGTGTAAAAAATACAATGTATACGAACTTTGTAAGTAAATTAGAATAAAATAAAAATTTTATAAAAAAATAAGTGTAAGAGTATGTGTGTGTGTGTGTGTATTTCAGACAACGCAGACTTTTTTAGGATAAGGAAAATTATCTCAATTATCTAGCATAAACAAGGGCATTAAAAAACAAATCCAAATCCACTGCCACTGACTGAATTCCAGCTCACAGCAATTCTATGGCACAGAGAAGGACTCCTCCAAAGTTTCCAAAGCAGAAAATGGAAACAGAACGCCACATCTTTCTTCCAAAGAGCAGCTGGCCGGTTACACATAGGCCTCTCGGTTAGTAGCTGAAATGATAACGGGTCAAGCCTCCAGGAACTACGATGTCATCAAGTTAGCTCTCAGAGTCTCCCTGTGTGCCACAGATGGAGACCCTACCCAATCCTCAGCCGCGCCCACACACCCATCCTTCCAGCATCCATGTCAATCCATCACTGAGGGTCTTCCCTTTCTCCCTCCCCCTCATCATTTCCCAGCACTGCAGCCCTCACTACGGTGGTCCCTCCCTCCTGTAACATGCCCAACGTAAGTGAGACAAAGTCCCCCCCACCGTGGTCCCTGAGGAGGACGCTGGCTGCATGTCCTCCAGGACATATTCATTTGTTCTTTTGTTTATTCTTCACAAACACCACAATTAATTGTTCAATCTTCCTCACTCATCGTCCTACTTTCACACATATATGCAGCAAAGGAAAATACCACTGTTGGGGTCAAATTTACCTTAGTCCTTAAAGTGACATCCTTGGCTTTTTAGCACTTCAGAGAGGTATTTAAAAGCGTGTTTGCCCAATGCCATTTTTGTGTTTGTTTGTTTTTTATATCTTGACTGCTGCTACCCTGGGTGTTGCTGGTGGATCCTGATAAAATAAAATTCTTACAAATAGATCCCACTCACTCACGATCATCGGGTTGGAACTGACTGACGGCTGCTCCCTGAGGGAAAGATGAGCAATCTCTGTGTGATTTGCAGCCTCTGAAAACCTGCTGGTGGGTCAACTATGAGTCAGTTCCAAATGAACAACAATGAGTTAGTGTTAAATCACAGGGGAGATTAACAAGCTTTCTCCTGCAAAGGATCCTGGTGGATTCGAACTAGCAGAGCTATGAGTTCGCAGCTTAACTCCCTATGGATGACACTAAGAGCTACCCTTAATGTGTGTGTACCTAGAATGAAGTGTCGAAATACAAGAGGCAAAACTGATCTAATTACAGGGAGAAATAAAACAAATCCACTAGAATAGTTGGAAATATCAACACCCTCTTTCAGCAACTGACAGATGGAGCAGGTAGAAAATTCAGTAAGGATGTAGTTGAACATGGCCATCAATCAACTGGATTTAATTGACATTTATAGAATACCACATCCAACAATAGCAGAACACACAATTCTTCTCAAGCTAATATGGAACATTCACCAAGACAGACCACATTCGGGGCCATAAATCATACTTTATCAAATTTAAAAGAATATAAATCATACAAAGTAAGCTTTCAGACCTTACTGAAATTAAACAAAAGATTATTAACAGAAAGCTAAAATCTTGAAAATATTTGGAGAGTAAACAAATACACTTTTAAATAACACAGAGGGCAAAGAAGTTGCCGCAAATAAAAATTAAACATTTTTTTTCAATAAAATAAAAAAAAGACTAAACCAGTGTATCATTCGACATGGCTTTTCAAGTCACTGCGGATATAACTCTCAACACACAGCTAGGTAGGACTATATGAATGTTAGATGCTTATAGCCCACAGAGGAGACTGGTCAGCTTGCTTATAATGCGAACAAGGTAAATTCTGGTGTACCTTAGAATAGAAATGCTTCTAATGGGTCAATTCTGACTTGATGTTCCACTACAACAACAACTTTACTAAATACAATCTTCTCCAGGGATGGATGTCTCCTGTCCAAAGAACATGAGATGAAGTCTTACCACCCATACTTCTTAGAAGAATTCTAGTTAGATGTCTGCTAGGATAGAGTTGTTAATTATTTTTGGTGCTTCACAATATAGTCAAGATTTTTTTTTCCTTTTGCTTCACCAAAATTCAAAGATACCAATTTTTCTTTGGTCTTCCTCATTCATCATCCAGCTTTTGTATGCATATAAGGGGATTGAAAATGCCATGGCTTGGATAAGCCGCGTCTTAGCAAAATGACATCTTTTGCCTTTTTTTAATTGGTTTGCATATGAACATGCTGCAAGGAGGGACTGAAAGACCCCCGAACTGGTGGTCCTATCCCGAGCGGACAGCGAAGACTCAAGACTCCAAGACACCAACTTGATGCGACAGCAAGAGGAGAGGTTTATTGCGGAGCTCCAGGCCGACACCTATCTCTCACAGGAGACAGAGGTGTCGACCCCGAGCAGACAAAGTTGGCTCTTTTTATACACTTTAGGGGGATACAACTGGGTATCAGCTTCTCATTGGGTGATGAAGGCACAGTTTGAATTCATTGGTTCGGTTTTCGCTCATGGTTTACACAGCATATTTGCACGTAGCACATGTGGCAGTTAGACAGATCTTAAGTCATCAGTATATTTGCCCAACTTTTGTGGTTAGCTATTTCCTGGAACATTAACTATAGGGTGGTTTCACAAATTCTTAAGCATACAATGAGTTCAAACCCCAGGGCAGTGGAAAAGCACAAGACACATGGGTTATCAGTCGGGAAACAAAGGCACATGGGTTATCAGTCGAGAAACATCTGCTTGTTTGCCCTACCCTGTAGTTAGCCCTGGGATCAGACTTTTCTTCCTGGAACACTGGGTGTGGGGCTCTACCCGGGACAAAGGAAAATTCCTGAGTTAAACTTAGCTGAGAGCTATAGGAGCCATTTTAATTTTAATCCTTCAGGACCAGTCCTTGGAGAGGGATGTCATGCTTGGGAGGGTGGAGAGACAGCGCAGGAGAGGAAGATCCTGGATGAGACGGATTGATTCTGTCACTGGGGTAATGGGGATAGGCGTGTCGGAGATAATAAGATTGGCAAGGGATAGAGCAGGGTTTAGGGCTCTTGTACACAGGGTCGCTATGCGTTGACTCAACATAACAACATATAGTAACTGTTTACACTGTGTTTCATTCATGTATATTGTGTTTTAGACAAACTTTCATTTACATTTTTCTTCATACAGTCATTCAGATGGACTGTATTTTATAGAGTTAATTACTATCGACCTATGCTTATTATTACCCTGTTTTTTTCAAGTCCCCATTGAGTCTTTCCTGGTCCCTCACCCCACCTGATAAACTCTGCTATACTAGTGATCCCCACCCTTGCCATCTTCCTTCCCCCTTCCCCCTTCTAGATCCTCATGCACGTCTTACTAGTTATCCTTCTATTTTTACAGTAATGGTTTTATACAGTATTTGTGCTTATGAGACTGAGTGAGTTCACTTGGCATTTGCTTTTATGCTACTTTAAAAATATTAAATAAATAATATAAAAATATAAAAAGAAATAAAGGATTAAATAAAATAAATAATAGTGTTGTGGAGCACTGAGTATGAAGCGACCCCTAGCTGGCCCTCCGGCAGGTTTTCAGAGGCAGTTAATCACAGGGGCAGAGATCGCCCATCCTTCTCCCACGGAGCAGCTGGTGGATTCGAGCTGCATGCCTTCAGAATTGCAGTGCAGCTTCTTACCACTAGGCTACCAGAGTGTTAAAAAAATAATCAATTAATTAATACTTTAATACTCTGTATCAAATTTGTCTATTGTGATATATCGTTTACTTCATGACTATTGCTTTCATGGGTATGGGCTGTGGAGCCAAGTAAGATAAAAGCATTGAAACTTCAATCTTTTTCTGTCATAATACTGCTTTTGGGTCCGGGTTTTGGATTCTTGATGTTGAGGTGCGATCCATACTGAAGGCTGTAATCTTTGAACTACATCAGCAAGTGCTTCAAGGCCTCTTTTCTATCAGCAACCAAGGCATGTCATCTGCACACTGCAGGGTGTTAATGGGTCTTCTTCCATTCCTGATGCCACATTCTTCTTCATGAAGTCCCAATTCCTGAATTCTTTGCTCAGCACAGAGGCTGAATTAGCATGGTGACAGAATACAATCCTGATGCACACCTCTCCTGATACGAAGTTGTGAAGTATCTCGTTGTTTGAATGACTACTTATCTACAGGCAGCACATGAACACAGTTCTTTGCTCTGCACAGTCAACAAAATCTAGGCCTTCCGGCCTTCTATGCTTTAACCAGCATTATGTAGCATCCGTCAGGATATTCCTCATTGCACACCTCTGCTCTGAATTCAGCTTGAATTTCTAACAGCTCCCTGTTGATGTATTGCTTCAAACATTCTTGAATGATTTCAACAAAATTTTACTTGTACCTGGTTTTAACCATATTGTTCAATAATTTCCACATTCTGATAGATCATGATAAATTTCTGCATCATGGGCATGACTTTGGATCACTTCCAGCTAATTAGTTAGCTGTCTCTCAAATTTCTTGCATACACGACGTAGCACTTCCATTGTTGGATCTGGTTTTTGCATCCTCTCCATTGGTTTCTTTTCCCCCCTCACTTTCTGGAGTCTTGTTTTGTTTTTCATCAATGCCTTCAGTGCCGGCTCTGTATCTTCCCTCAGTACCACTGGATCTTGACCACATGATTCCCCTTAAAGTGTCTGAACTTCAACCAGCTCTTACTTACACGGTAACTGTGCGCTCCTTCCATCTTCATTGCACGGTTCCTACATCGTTCAATCAACACCCTTGATAGCAGCAGTCAAGAAATGAAGATGTAGGGAGCTCTGGTGGGCTAGTGGCAAGAAGCTGCACTGCAATCCCAGAGGTGCGTGGTTCGAATCCACCTGATGCTCTGCTGGAGAAGGAGGGTCAATCTCCTCCTGTACAGTCAGATCCAATTAGACAGTACACACACTAGCAAGGACATAACCAACATTCTAAAGAGTAAGGATGTCAACTGAAAACTTATGGTGCGCCTGATCCAAGTGTTGGTATTTTCAACTGCCTCCTTTCCATCTGAAAGTTGAACAATGAATAAGGAAGGATGAAGAAGAATAAGATACCTTTGGGTTGTGATGTTGGAGAAAAGTATAGAATATGCCATAAACTGCCAAAAGAATGAACAGATGTGTCTTGAAAGAAGCATAAACAGAGTGCTCCTGAGAGGCAAGGATGGTGGAAGTTCACCTCAGTTACTTTGGACATATTTCCAGGAGAAACCTGTCCTGAGAAAGAGACGTCATGCTTGCAAAGGTAGAGGAAGAGACAGAGACCGCCCCCATCAACACTTCCTCGGTGCAACAGACCAACTACACATAAACTATATACAGCAAGATCCAGGGCAAGGAGCGAGAGGATCAGTGAACCCGGCTGTGCTCAAAAGACAAGTTTCAGAAAATGAGTCTGAGGACTGCCTGCCTAACGAGGGCTTCCTGCTAAATTCAACAAAAATGGACCAATGAACATGGCTGAGATAAAGAAGTGATAGAGGCATAAGACATGGACCCACTCACCAGTGGGTTTGGTGGCCATGGGGGTCATGATTCAGGGACACCCAAAGACCTTGCCCCCTTCCTCAGAGCTGTGGATCAGTAGGCCACTAGACAAGGCAATGGGGACAGCCCACGAATCAGGGGCACCTTGGTCCTTGTAACCTTCCTCAGGGCTGTGGCTCAGTGTCCCCAGCCCTCACACTTAAACAACGCTGATTTCACCTAACGGCTTGGACTTTAGGACTGATTCATACCAAAAAAGTGAGAAGTGGGTGTAAACTGTATTAAGAGTATAATTAAAATGCTGAAATATCACACCATCAGAAACATATGTATAATTAAATAATACCTGAAAATAAACACTCTATCTTAACTGAGTGACAGAATTATAGATGAGTTTTCTTTTCCGACAACAAACATTTATTTTCTCGGTGTACTATTTATATAATAAAAATGCAAAAGGAAATATAAGTAAATAAAATAACCAAAATAAGTTTTTAAGTCAAAGCGTTGAGAGTAGAATAACTTAAAACACAGATTTCTGTAAGTGGGGGTTCCCATTAGTGTCATCAAGGAAACTAGTGTTCTAGCAAAATTAAGAAAAAATATCTTTTTCTAAGGAAGGTAGTAGTGGTGCTGGAGAAGAGTATTGAGAATACCATGGACTGCTAGGAAAGCAAACAGATTTTCTGGAAAGGGTTAAACTGGGTGGCTCCTTGGAGGCAAGGATTCTGAGGCTCCGTCTAACATACTTTGGACATGTTGTGAGGAGAGACCGGTCCTTGGAGAAGGACATCATGCTTGGGAGGGTGGAGGGACAGCGCAGGAGGGGAAGGCCCTCTATGAGGTGGATTGATTCAGTGACTGGGGTAATCAGTATGGGTGTATCGAAGAAGGTGCAGTTGGCACAGGACAGAGCAGAGTTTAGGGCTGTTGTACACAGGGTCGCTATGAGTCGCAAGTGACTCGACGGCACAAAACAACAACAACAAGGAAGGTAGATTGTCTCAACCATCCCTATGTTCTTAGAGACCCAAAGCCTGAAACACCACAAAGACTGAGACAAGTGCTTGGTACAAGAAAATAAGGAAACCAAATAAACCCAGTATTATCCATTCTGATTCTTAAATCTGTACAAGACACTCAATTTCCTAAAACTGCTACAAAACAGAGGCTAGGTGGATTGACATAGAGACTGCTGCAAATGGGCTCTTGTGTGTCAGGATGGTGCAGGATAAAACAGGGGTGAGATCTTCTGTTCATGGTGTCACTGTGCATTATACTTGACTTGAGAGCACCTAACAACAACTTTAAAATGTAATTAGATCCTTCCTGAAAAGGACCTTATCAATGAAATGTTACAGATTTCCCTATGCAAAATGGTTTTTAGCATTAAATAAAAGCATCTTCAAGAAAAGATTTCCTTGACATTTTGAAATTTAGGAAAGTATGTCTTAAATACTTACCCGGGAACACCATTGAACTCGTCAGAAGTTATAAACGGCATTTCTTTAATGTTCCGTTGTTCTTTGCGGGGCTTATTTATGGGTGCAGGTTCCACAGCTTCGACTGGTTCATCAGGTTTAACTTCTGACCCCTGATCGCTACAGAACAGACGGGGACACATGTCACAAACTGAAGTTTGCACAACTGAAAAGAATCCATATTAAACAAATGATTCATCCTGTCCCAACAACTTTGCAGCCAACATTTTTTATTTCTAGTGTTCATGAAGACCTAAAGAGTGAAGAGAATCTTAAAAAAAGTCTTTAAATCCTTCATGAATGTTGTTGTGAGGTGCCATGAATGTGACTCACTGCAACCCTGTGAACAGCAGGTCTGAACCCTGCCCTCTCCTGCAACGTCCCCACTGTCCTCACCATGCTCACGGCCACTGGCAGAGTCCATCTTGGTGAAGGTCTTCCCCTCTTTCACTGACCCTCCACCTTTCCCTGCATATCTTTTTCCAAGACCTTCTGACAACAGAGAGTATGTGAGACCAAGTTTCACCATCCTTGCCCCTCAGGAGTACTTTGGTTGCACTTCCTGCAAGACCAAGTTGGTAAGGAACTGTACTACAATCCCAAAGGCATGCGGTTCGAATCCATCAGCTGCTCTGCAGGAGAAAGATGGGCAATCTCCTCCTGTGCAATTAACTGCCTCTGAAAACCCGCTGGAGGGTCAGCTATGGGTCGGTTCCAACCTGGCGATACACAACAACAGAGGAATTGTATGCAGCCTGGAGACTTTTTCATTGTACCAGCTGGAGAGGTGAGCTATGGTCATCTACGAGGGAGAAGCCAGGAGTGCTCCTAAAGGGCTTATAAAGAGCAACTCTCACAAGAAATGGCCCAGCCCAAAATGTCAGGGGTGCCAAAGGTGTGACTGTGAGCAAAGGGAAAGAAATGAGTGCACAAAGGAGTCTAGGGGAGACTCGCCTTGAGAAAGAGGGTGGCATTTTCCTCAGACACAGCAGGACGAGAGAAGTGGTAAGGAAAGAGAAGTCAGAAAATCAAAAGCAGAATAATCACTGATAAAATTGCTAATATATAAAAAATGCAAAACTCTGAGCTCCTTTAATGGGCTTATAAATGAAGGTAACAAGAACAATTGTAAATATACTCACAGGTTCTTGCTTTCTGTTACAGGAGGCAAATGGGGGGGAATGTTTTCTTTGAGATGTTGAGCGTCTTTGTAATCTTTTCCAAGAGATTCGCAGAGTTCCTAAGGTTGTTTATTTAAAATAAAAAATAAGTTAAAAAAAAGCTCATAAACAAAACTGTCCTCTGTAAAGCACGTTTTTGAGGCCCTCTTTAGAGCATGAGAGATGATGGCCCTCAGTTACTAGGACTGTGAATGTACCCAGTGCAGACTGCGGTGAAACTGGACGAAATGTAGCAACATAAAAAAAAAAGGCTCTTGTGATTTCTAGACTTTGTTTTTGGATAATGCAACTTTTCTCTATTGGGTTTTTTCAAAGGAGCCCCGTTGGCATAGTGTAGCACATGCCGGATTGCTAAGTAAAAGACTGGCAGTTTTATCTTTCTGTGGGAGAAAGATAAGGCAGGTTTCCCCACAAAAACTTACTGCTGTTAAGTGCCCCCGAGTCAAGGATGACTTAAAGCGGCCCCATGAACAACAGCCCTGAATCCCGTCATGTCCTGTGCCTCCTCACCGTCTGATACACTTGAGCAAAATGCTGTAGTCACCGTGTCAATGCACGCCAGTGGGGATCTTTCACTTACCTTTACACTTGCAAGCATGATATTCTTTTCTAAGAAATAGTCTCTCCTAGCAACATGCCCAAAGTATGAGTGGCAAGGTTTTGCCATCTTTGCATCCAAAGAGCACTCCAGCGGCACCTTTCCAAGACATACCTGTTTGTTCTTTTGGCAGTTCATGAGATATTAAGTACTTTTATCCAATATCCCAACTCAACATCATCAATCCTTCTCACCCTTACTCACTGTCCAGTTTTCAGATGCATAGCAAGTAACTGAAAACCACCATGGCCTGAATCAGGCACAACTTAGTCTTCAAACTGACATCACTGCTCTTCAGTATTTCAGAAAGGTCCCTGACAGCAATACATCTCCTTATCTCCTGACTGCTGGTACCAAGGGTGTGGATCCAAGCAAGATGAAATCTTAACAGTTTCAACTCTTTCTCCATCTATCATGATGCTGTCTACTGGCCCAGTGGTGAGGATCTTTGTCTTCTTGATGTGAAGATGTGATCCATATTGAAGGCTGTATAGATCATCTTTGATCTTCTGCAACAAGTGCTTTGGAACCCCTTTGCTTTCAGCAAACAAGGTTGTAACGTCTGCATAACACAGATTATTGATGAGTCTTCCTCTGATCCTGATGCCACATTTTTCTCCACAGAGTCCAGCTTCTTGAATTATTTGCTTAGCATACAGATTAAATAGTTATGGAGAAAGAATACACCCTGGATGCACACCTTTCCCAATTTTAAACCATACAGTGTTCCCCAAAAGGGGATTCTCCCGGAGTCAGAACTGACTGGTTCACATTTGGTGGATGATTTTTTCCCCCAAGGATCCCTGGTGGCACAATGGCTAAAAGACTTGTTGTTGTTCTTGTTAGGTGCCACCAAGTCAAGTACGACTCATAGCAACACTATGAACAGAAGATCTAAACCCTGTCTTATCCTGTGCCATCCTCATACTTCGTGACACACAAGAGCCCGCTGCAGCAGTCACCATGTCAGTCCACCTGGTTGAGGATCTTCCTCTCCTTCACTGACCCTCCATCCTTCCCAGCATCATGTTCTTCTCCAAGGAATAGCCCCTCCTAGCAACATGCCCAAAGTATGTGAGGTGAAGCCTCGTCATTCTTGCCTCCAAAGACCACTTCGGCTACACCCTCTCCAAGACATAGCTCTTTAAAAGACTTGCTGTAAGTAAAAAAAGGCAGTGGTTTCAAGCCACCAATGGTTTTACAGGAGAAAGACGTGGGAAAAGACATGGCAATCTGCTTCTGTAAGGATTTACGACCCTGGAAACCCTACAAGGCACTTCTACTGTGTCTTGCAGGGTCACTGTCAATCAGAATCGACTGTCGATCTGAATCGACACAACAGCAGGAAGGTTTGGATTTTTTTCAGAGAGTCATTGCTATAATCATACTAAAATAGGCAGAGTTGAAGTTCAGATCTCTCCAAAATGACTTGACTTGGGAGGCAAATAAGAAATATATGAATGACATAGGCATTTCCTTCTGGTAAACGACTTTTGTTGACTTTGCAAATGTTCCCCAGGGTCACCTGTACAAGGCAGATAATGTATGCCTGATAACACGCACGAGACACTGGGGGAGTGATTTTCATTGCTGATGTGCACATATTCCAGCTTAATGAAAATTTCTACTTGGTCATAACCTTTCCTTCTCTACTGAGGCTACAACTTCCTAAGGAAAATATTCTGTATCTTTCTGAGTTGAACATTCTCTAGGGCCATTCTTGACCTTGAGTATTTTGAGGGTATGATGGAATTAATAATAATAATAATAATAATAATAATAATATAAAAAAAGAAAAACACTCTATTTTGAACTTACATTACACTCTTTTGGAGAGGTGAATGATCATCAGGAATATTGACAAGCATTTTACTGAAAGGAACATACACATACAAGTAAAACTTGTATTAAGTTATAGAAATACAGAAATGTATAAATTGTTGTTATTAATATGTGTCATTAATGACCCTCCAGCAGGTTTTCAGAGGCTGTAAGTAACAAAAGAGGAGATTGTCCATTTTTCCTCCCACAGAGCAGGTGGTGGATTCGAACTGCCTGCCTTTGGGTTGGCAGTGCAATCCCTTACCACTAGGCCACCAGAGCTTCCTAAACATATAAGAGACCCAAGAAACAGCCCAGTATGATTTTTCTTTCCAAATGAGAACTCTGAGTCCCAGAGAGGTAAAATACCTTTCCTAGGGCGACTTAGGGAAGCTGGGATGAGAATCCACGTCTCTTCACACCAATATATTTTTTTTTAATTAGGTCTATGAATAATTACATAGACAATCCTTTCAAGTAAAGTTCAATTCCTTTGGTTAGCAACACGAAGAAATACCTACCAAGTCAGTTATACTAGAAAGGTAAAATGGTATTCTATACCATTAACAAAGCCACAAACATTATAAACTGATTTCAAAAAACAGCCTTAAGAATTACCTGGTGAATTGGGAGTTTGTACTTAAGGCCTTTTTTACTTTATTTCCTAATTAGAAATCCATTACCTTGAGTGCACTGCTGGTTTGTTCTTGATACTCAATTTCCAATTCCAGTTTATTTAGGAGTTCATTTACGACAATGATCTCATCTCCAATTTTATTTAGCAGAGTTTTCAAGACAGGTTCTTGGCCTATAATAAAGATAAGTAAAAATGAAAAACAGAGTACACAGAAAAGCCATCATATACAAATATGTATTTGAACTTCTGGTAGTAAAAGGGCAGAGGGTGAGGTAAGTACCCAGGGTCCTCCGACCCTAGCAAAATCCTCCACTATAATAAAGAACTCAGAAATGCTGGATAGCATAAACACCCTCCACGTTCACAGACGCACCACTGGGCTCTCACAAGAAGCGGAAAAGTCCTTCAGGACAGAAGTGAAAGGAGATGCACAGAGCGGGCAATCCATGAGTTCATGCCTAGTATCCCTCAGCTGGGGGTGTGGAGAGATCTGAAGGAGAAAGGAGTCTATCAGTCTCAAGAACCTAATCTACACAATTTTAATGAAAGGAGCCAAGCCTTAGGGCTTTCAAAACACGCAGGAATAGAAGGAAGAACCCCACATGCGGCCAGGACCCTTCCTGATGGGATATATCCTCAGAGAAAGCATCAAGATGCAAAATCCCAACCACTGGTCAGTTAGAAAAGCTCACAAGTCCCCTTGGGATGTGTAATACTGGTTTGCCCTCACTTGAGTTTGAGGTTCATATTTACACTATTCATACTATTCAAGAAGATGCGCTGATGGCCTAGTCAGTAAGGAGTTAACAGTCTCAACTCAAAGTGAGTTTTTTGGAGCAAAGAAAGTAATATAAGAAGTCACAGGCTGGTGGTACCTTCAGAACACACAGCAAAAGCAAATTACAAAACATTTATAAATAACATGTTCTCAGACTCTCAGGATTTCTAACAGTGACTTCAGAGGGATGGGCAATCAAAAGAATCTCCTCTTCCCTAAGAAATAAAAGTCCTAATTTTATAAAATTATATCTTTAAAGGGTATATTAAAAGGATGCAAGAAAAACTATCCCTCTAATTCTTTCCATTTCCACTCCTAGCAACCAAATAACATGAGATACACGCTGTAAAAGCAGTAGACCAGCTGTCGCCACCACTGTAGAAGTATAGTAACCACAGCTGTGTGTGACCCCATGACCATGGGCCTCAACAAGGGCCAAGTAACCAAGGACATAAGCAAGCCAAGACACAGCCACCATCACGGCGCCTCACCAAGTACACCAAGTTCTGCGGGACATGATCCAGGACGTGTGTGGTTTCAAAACCTACAAGCTCAAGCCATCCAGCTTCTCAAATCAAGGTCTCCAAGGACAACCTCAAGTTCATCAAGAAAAGGGTAGGAATGTTCATAGCAGCATCATTCACCATTGCAAGAACATGGAAACTGCCCAAATATCCAACCACAATAGAATGCATTGAGAAATTATGGTACATTCACACAGTGAAATACTACACAGCACGTAGGAGCAACGATTTTGTAAATCACTACCTAACTTGGGTGCGACTGGAGAGCATTATGCTAAGGGAGTTAACTAAGTCCCTTAAGGACAAACACCGTATAAGATCATCATTGTAGAATGTGTATGAGGATCTAAGGGGGAGGGGGGAGCAAAAGGAGGAGGATGGGGTGGTAATCATAGGGGCACACAATTTGATGGGTAGAGGTAGGGGTGAGTAAAGGGAATGGGAAAGATCCGGTGTGAAAACAATGCATACGAACTTTGTAAGTAAACGAGTATAAAATTAAAATTTTAAATAATTATTTAAACCAGGATAAAATTTTTATTTCAATAATGAAAGAAAAGGGTGAGGACACACGTCCGCACCAAAAGGAAGAGAGAAGAATGCAGTAATGTTCTGGCCGCCATGAGGAAGGTGGCTGAGTGCGCCCCACTGTCCCCCAAAGCCCTCTGACGTAATAAAATGTAATCAACAACAACAAAAAGCAGTTAACTGCATTTGTAGCTAGAAATGGCTCAATCGGAATCGACTCAATGACTGTGCACTCTGGGGGTTAGAATGAAATGCCTAGAAGCTCTCCTGATCTCAGAAGCTAAGCAGGATCTGGGCCTGGTTAGTACATGGAGGGGAGAAGCTCTAGACCTGAAGTTAGAACCACCTCATAGAGTTACTATGAACGCAAGTGCAAGTCCACAAAGAATGGACTTCACTCTGTGCCTGGAACTAGCAAAGCACTCAGTACAGTAAAACCTGCAAAAGCAGAATCTACGTAAGGCAGAAACGTACTAGGAGGAAAACAAATATTTTCCCTTTTAGAGAGCTACAGAAAAGAGGCAAGACTACACCCTGTTAACTAAAAATGTGGGGCTTTCAAGGCCTAGAAAAACAGCAGTGCTGTTGGGTTTCAGCTCTCACAGGTTTTTAAATCATCAGGGAATCCTGGTGGAGGCTCAGAGGTTAAGCACTCGGTTACTTACTAAACACAAAGTTTACTAACTCCTGGGGAGAAAGATGTGGCAGTTGTCTCCATAAATATTTACAGCCTCAGAAACCCTATGGAACAGTTTCTACTCTGTCCTTTAAAGTCACTATAAGTCAGAATTAGGGAGCTCTGGTGCCTAGGGATATGTAGAGTTACACTGATAACCAAAGGCAACCTACCAATTGGTTGGAGGGAGAAAGATGAGCAATCTCGTCTTGAGCAGTGAGAACAAACTCTGGAGGTCACCTAGGAGTTGTTCCAACTCAACAGCATGTAACAAGAAGATACGGTCATCCAACTACACACTAAGCTATCTTGCAAGGAAGAAAAATTAAAAGCATTTTGTAATAAAAAAAAAAAACCAAAACAAACAAAAAAAGCATTTTGTGTGCACAAAGCAAGAGGGATGTGTTTTACTTACCACAGTTTCTTAAAGACAAAGTGTTTTTAATATTACTGATCTTTTCATTAATATAAGAACATAACTGTTCCAGGTCTGAGGAAGCCATGTCTTAAGCTGTTAAGAAAAAAAGAAACACATTTACAAATGGGTAGGGGGGAGGGGAGAGAGAGGGGAAATGTATTCACTTTCAAAATCCCCAAAATGGACAACTTTGGGTAATTCTTATTTCCTTGGAAGCATAAAACCTCAAAAGCAATTTCTTTACATTCTACAAATTTTAGTTTCCAATAAAGGTACTACATTTGATGGAATCATTGGGTAAGGAGCTGAGCTACCAACCCAAAGGCACCCAGTTGGAATCCACCAGCTTCTCCCAGGGGAAGGATGGGCAGTATCCTCTCATGTGATTTATAGACTTTGAAACTCACTGGAGGGTCAGCTATGGATGGGTTCTGACTCAACAGCAATTAAAGAGAACCAAGGTGCAGTACTACTGACTGTCCCCAGAGCTCTCTGTAGGGAATGGGTCACGAACAGGAGATAAGTTAGGGCCACTTCCTTAATGATTTAGGGGGGACAAATGCACTATTTATGCATACACAACATCTATTGTCATCAAGTCGATTCTGACTTATGATCGACTCTCCATAACTATTAAAAACAAAAATAGGTGAGCTCTGGTGTACCAGTCAGATCCGATTTGATTGTACACACATAAAAAAACAAACAAACAAACAAAAACCCTCAAATTGTTAAAAAAGTGGGGGGGGAGGCGAAAGTTCAAAGACACGAGGCCTACTAAGCATTTATTCTATGTTATGGAGAGTGGCTTAGTGGTAAGGAGTTGTGCTGCCAACCTAAAAGCCCAAGGTTCGAATCCACTAGCTGCCAGAGAAAGGTGGGCAATCTCATTCCGTGGGATTAGTGCCTCCTGAAAACTCACTGGAGGGTCAGCTATGGGTTGGTTCCATTAACAATACACAACAGCATGAAGAGCTGGGGTGCTCCTTGGAGGTAACCATGATAAGTTTTCGACTTTCTTATTTTGGGCAAGCTGTTAGGAGGGGGCAGTCCTTGGAAAGGGACATCATGCTTGCTTGAAAAGGTGGAGAGTCAGCAAAAGAGAGGAAGAACCACAACGACATGGTTTGACGCAAGTATATATCAAAGATGGTGAGATGGCACTGGGTAGGGCAGGGTTCAGATCAATAGGGTCGCTGTGAGTCCTGTTCGAATCGAGGGCACCTAATAACAGGGGAGACTAAAGTTTTACAATTTGGGGTCGGGAAGGAGACCATGGGAGGACAAAGAATTGTTCCTATAAATCCATGAGCAGCTCAGAAGAGACACAGACTAAACCACAGCAACTTAACCAAACTGAATAAATGTCAACCCCTTACCCTCTGCCCAGCCAAGAAATGCCTTCGGGGTTCAGGATTCCCCCCAGCATCAAATCCCAACCTCGCGCCTGTCCCAGGTTAAAGGGCCACAGCTCACCTCCAAGTTGCAGAAAGCGGAGACCCACGTTCCTACAGGACTCAATTCACCGCGGAATTTGAATGGCCCGCCTGGGCTCGGCGCCGCGCATGCGCAGAGCGCTGACCTCGACAGCCAGTTCTGCGACTGCGCGCGGCCTCGGGTTGCTACGGTAACCAGTGGGCGGGGCCCCAGCAGAGGGTGGGAGCAAAGCCGAGTGGCTGTAAAACTGCGGCGGAAGTCTGACTCCTGACCTATCCCAGACGTGGGCAGTCACGTCCTACTCAACCTTGACCCCCTGCTCAGCCAGGAGGCAAAAGAGAAGAAAGTGAAAGCCCTCAACCAACAAAAAAGAAAAGAAAAACAGAAAACCAACCCTCAACGGGATGGACACAGTGACTGTTAAGAATGGGTTCAAGCATGTTGGAGGTCATGAACACGACACAGGATGCTTCTTGTTGTTAGGTGCCATCGAGTTGAGTACCACTCATAGCGATGCTCTGAACGACAGATGTGAACTCTGCCCAATCCTAAGCCATCTTCACAATCCCTGACAACTCAAGCCCATTGCTGAAATCACTGTGTCAATCCACCTGATTGAGGGTCCTCCGCTCTTTCACTGACCCTCCACCTTTCCAAGCATGATGTCCGTCTCCAAGGACTAACCTCTCCTAACAACATGCCCAAGTATGTGACAAGAGCTGTCATTTTTACCTCCAAAGAACACTCTTATCTGCACTTTCTCCAAGACTTAGTTGTTCTTTCGGCAGTCCATGGGATACTCAGTACTCTTACTCAATACCACAGCTTAAAGGCATCAATTCTTCTGCCATCCGTATTCATTGTCCAGTTCTCAGATACATAGAAAGTGATTGAAAAGACCATGATCTTTTATAGGCTTGGAAACCTGATGAAGGCTCACCTTGAGTCAGAGCTTTTGAGTAGCCAAGACTGGAGCCCCAGTGGTGTATGCCTTGCATTATCAACTGAAAAGTCAGCAATTCTAAGTGTAGGCAATTCCATGGCAGAAAGATGGACCATCTCGTCCCATAAACATTTAGTCTTGGAAATCTAATTGAGGTAGTTGCAAGTTGGAATCAACTCAAACACAGTCAATTTCAGGGAGTGTTTTTTGCTTATTTTACCAAGACCTAGAAATAGTAAAGGGTACTCTGGATTGCAAGGTGATAAGGAGCTGCACTGTCAACCAAAAGGCAGATGATTTGAATTCAGCATCTTCTCTGTGGGGCAGTCTCCTCCTGTGCCATTCAAAGCCTCTGCAAATCCACTGGAGGGATAGCTATGAGTCAGTTCTGATTAAACAACACTCAACAACAATGACAACAGAAGTAGTATTTGGCACTATTTGCCTTTGTTTATTTAGACAAATTATTTTACTTCTGGGACCTACTTTTCTTTTGCATTAAAAGGTGTTCTTAATAGTATGGTTTACATCTTTTGGAAATCTAACCGGAAATTATTATAAAATAAATAGATAAATATGCTCAATATATTGTGTTATTCTTTATTATTGAAAATTATTACTGGGTATGAAAATAATAATCTTGTTTTTTGAGCTGAATCAAGTTGATTCTGACTCATGGTGAACCCAAGAGGTATCCTTGGGTTGGTTTGAACCACTGACTGTGCTTAACCAGATGCACTGCCCAGGACTCCAATAATAATAGAAGTTATATTTTACTGAGTGTTTACTATACAAGGTCTTTAGATGTATTACCATACGTATAAACTCAAAAAAGTCATTGCCATAGATTTGAAACTAAAGTGCTACCTGCCCCTTCTCCTTTAGGAGAAGAAGGTGCAACAGTCTGCTTCCTTAAGATTTGCAGCCTTATTAAGCCTGTGGGAAAATGCTACACTATCCTCTTACGTATCTATGAGTAAGACTTGCCTTAGTGGTAATGAGTTTATATATTTGCTCAGACTTTGAAAGTTATCTTGTGATCCAAGCCAGTGAAATCAAGTGCAGTGTGATGGCCCCAACAATCAAAACTTTGTCCAATATGTTGCAAATATTCAATTGCACTGATCTTAGTGGACTGTTTTCTGTAATTGAGTACTGGCTTATAAAATATAATGTTAATGAGAGTTACTATGACTCAGAATTGTCTGGATGGCATTAGATGGGGTACTCTAAGATGCTTTCTGCTATTCTTAACTGTATTCTATTAACATTTTAAACCCCAATAAAATCTCTCTTTCATACATTCTATTTCTTTAAACTACTTCCTTTCCTTTAGTCTTCCTTTTACTGTCAAACTTCTTCAATGAGTGATAAATTCATTTTGGTGATACCATTTACTCTTTTATCTCTTACAAATGTCTTTCTATGTATAACACTTGAGAAGTCACTAACAGCCTTTAAATTATTAATTCCAAAAATGGATCACTTAAATCTAAAGGTAAATTGCTTGTCAGCAAATGAATGGATAGAAAAACTATGCTATAGTCATGTAATGGGATAATATGTAATACTGAAAAAAATGAACTGGTAAAACATTACACAACATCATGCTGAGTGAAATCTCTCAGTCTCAAAAGGACTGTGATAAGTATGTCTTAGGATAAGAGTGGATAAATAATGACCATTGCATTGGAACAGGTGAAGAAAAGAACTGTTTAAAAGGAATATATGATTAGGCATTATTCATAAAACATCCCAGAATAAGAGGTATATCATTGAAATTAGGACTCAGGGAAGAGAGAGAATTTAGGTAACTATGCAACATGAATGAATATTTTTTAAAAAAAGATGAACTTGGAGAGGGAGGAGGGAAGGAGAGGGGATACAAAAAATAAAGCTAAATGGAAAAAAAAGTTGGATTTTAGAGCAAGTTTGGAATTGAGAATAAAAATTTATCAAAAAAGAAAAAAAAAAAAAAGACCATGATCTGAATCAGGCACACCTTAGACCCCAAACTGACATCCTTGCTCCCCAATAACTTGGAAAGGTCCCTGACTACAGACTTTCCCAGTGCAATACAACTCAGGCAGTATATAGATCTGTTCATGCTGGTTTTAGGTGCTGTCGAATTGAGTCCAACTCATAGCGACTCTACAAAACAATAAATCGGAACCATATCCTCTCCTGTGCCATACTCATCGTCTTTGGCATACTTGAGCCCATTGCTGCACTCACTGTGTCCGTCTGTCTCGTTGAGGATCTTCCTCTCTTTTGCTGACCCTCCACCATTCCAAGCATGATGTTGTAAGTTACTAACAACTTGACAACACCTAACAACAACAGAAACGTACTAGCTGCTTGAAAATGGTTTGTAGGAATAATTCATCTCTGCCTCATGACGTCTTACGTTAGAGGGATGGCTTGGCAGGGGCATTTCTGAGATGACTCACTCATCAAGTTAGCAAGTTGATGCTGTCAATTCACTCACTCATTGCTGTCAAACTAGAACCAACTCATAGGGTTTCCTCCATTGGGAGGAGCCGTCCATTGGGGTTTTTGAGGTTGAGAATGGCACAGGAGGAGATTGCACTTCTTTCTTCCTGAGAGCCTCTGATAGATTTGATCTGTCACCTAGAGGCTTCATTTTTCAGTGTTGTTCTCATCTGGATACGTGCGCTTCCTAACAGGATGGGTCCTAAAAGAAG